TATTCAACAAAAGCGTTTCCAGACTCCAAATATCTTTTCGAAAAAACTTGCCACTTTGACTTTGCGAATTGTCAACATTTTTAGCAGAACAAAAAGGCCTCATCTATCTTCATTTCATCCGCTTTTCTGATGAAATTAAATTGAGTTTGAGATTCTTAGAAACTGGGATAAGGGGTATTTTGTTCACTTTTCGTTCAGTAGTCAGGGATTTATTTTGTACGTACGGCATTCTGGAAAACTTTCGAAAGTATTGATTATATATAGCCGCACAATGGACAGCAAGTTTCGAAGAATTCATATCACAGTAGTTTATCAGACTTAGTCTACCAGACCGACAGTTATAGTTCTGAGCAACAGAATACTGTTAAGTATGCTGTATGACATTCAGCATATAACCATTCTTATAGGCTTCCATAAGTAATGTCACTTATAGCGAAAATGAATTCTAAGAAAGTTGGCTGCTGAAGGTAACCCATATTAGAAAATCTTAAGATCCAGTGCTCAGTCACTTCAGTAAGTTCATAGCATATAATGGAGTCACAGAGTATGCTATCCTATAATTGAGTAAAACGTTAGATCAAGAGAGGCAGTTCACTTACTGAGACTGTTAAACTGTATCACAGTTACAGCATTTATTGACTACTCAGTCAACAGTAGAATGGATTGGAGAAACACAAAAACAATATAAATTCATCAAAGTAATGACTGTTAATTAGTCGCACAGGGGAAATCATTGGTTAACCAGAGTATCAACGAAGAGTCATGTTACTCAAGTTCTAATCTACAACACTATCTGAACATGATAAATTCCACACTGCTTTTCAATATCTTAATAAGTCATATACAATCTATAAATAATTCTGCAAAACGTTATCTGAAAGATATGGGTAAAATAAAGCAATCGACAAATAGAATGTCCTTCTTAAGAATATTATATCCGCTTAGTAGTCAAATACAAATAGATAGATGAACAGATACAGAAGGTAATCGATTGCACATGCTTCTAACAAACATTGTAATCTGATTCATAGCGAAAATTGTACAATTAGTGTTATTCACACTTTCACTCCAAGTAAATGAAAAGTACTAGCTTTGTATCAACAATAGGAAAACATAATCAGAGCAACAGCCTGATTTATTCTGTCATATCATGACAAGTGACGTGAATATCAGATCAAAATTGCCTTACAATAGTTTGTGTATTTTTTAAAATACATATATTCCGAAAACTGCCAGATTCCTTTTCTGTGTAGGCATATTCGTAGATGAAGTTAGTAAAATCCTTCATCCGTATAACACGCAATATTAAAACTATCCTAAAATGAACTTTGATATATATAGTATTGTTGTACTCACACTCTCCACTCCTCTCACCATCACTCTAAATTCCTTTACCTCTCTTTCACTCTGACAAACACGATCTCTATACGTATTGCAATGTAGAAACCTACACAGGAATTTTATCGCTTGAAAACGGGTATTCAGTCAAATATTGTCTCGACAAGTGCAACAAACTGTTCGTTCTTTTTTTCGGATGAGACAAATTTTATATATTGTAAATATGGTCTATTTAAACAAAGTAATACAATGTTTTCAGGATGGCTTTGATCAGTCTAATGATAAACGAAATGTCAGAAAGCTGACCTAAAAAAATACACTTAGAATAAAATTTTGCGTATGACCATTCTGATGTATAAAATAGATTAAAATTTCCTCATCACCATTAAGCTACTGACTATTAGTGTATACTGACGATAAAGTTTTCACAAAATCAGACTACTGCATATTACTAATAGTACCCCCAATACTGATTGTCATGTTAGTAGTATTTATCATTATATGGTAACAGATCCTCCCAGTTTGAATTCGATATAGCTACTGAACTTTTAGCAAAATAAAACATCCCTTGAAAGTAAATAATCCCTATCAAGGTTGCAAGAACTGGCGCGGAATAATGCTCCTGTCCACACCAAGCAAAATATTAAGTCGCATCATCCTGGAGAGACTAAGGCATGCGCTGGATTCAAAACTACGACCAGAACAGGCTAGCTGGATTCAGGAAGTACAAATCATTTGCTCATTAAATTGCAACGCTACACATCATCATCATCATCATCATAAAACAGAGCATAGAATGGTAGTCAACCTTCTACCTCAACTTCATCGACTTCAAAAAGGCCTTTGACAGCGTCGACCAGGAAGTAATTTGGAAACTGCTTCAACACTACGGAATACCGCAAACCCTTATCAACTTCATTCAACAACTATATGAAGACGCCACATGCCAAGTGATTCACAATGGAAAGCTCAGTGATGGCTTTGAAGTTTGGACGGGAGTAAGACAAGGCTGCCACCTACTATCACCCATGATATTCCTGATTGTGGTCGACTGGATCATGCAACGAACAGTGGGGAGCGAGAAGAGGGGGATATGCTGGCTGGAGTGATGAAAAGAACCCAGAAGATTTGGATTTCGCCGATGACTTGTGTCTAATGTCACACAAACTTGAGGATCTACAGGTGAAATCCAACAAGTTGACAGGAGAGGCGGTGAAGATGGGACTTCAAGTGAATATAGAAAAGACTGAGGTGATGAAGATACCCAACCAACACCACCACCAACAACAACAACAAGCTCCAATCACCATCAACGGGGGAAACTTAAAGGAAGTAGCCTCTTTCACCTATCTAGGCAGCACCGTTTCAACTACAGGCGGCACAGTCACAAATGAGGACGTCGAAGCAGCCAGGATTGGAAAGACAGCAAGACAGGCGTTCATTAATCTGAAACCAGTGTGGAGATCTTCTGCACTCAGCATAAAGCATGAACAAGATCCACATTTTCAACACCAATTCAGTCAAGTCAGTGCTTCTATATGGCTCAGAGACTTGGCGCGTTACGAAAAACATTTCCAACAAACTACAGATAATCATCAACAATTGCCTACGCTGGCTGGTTACTGAAGCTTAGATGGCCAGAAAGAATAAGCAACAAGCAACTCTGGGAACGAATCAACCAAGAACCTATCACGCAACAAATATGCAGAAGGAAGTGGAGATGGATTGGGCGTGCACTGAGAAGACCATTCGGGGACATCACGCGCCAGGCTGTCGAGTAGAACCCAGATAGGAAGCGACCAGTTGGGCGTCCGAGGCGAGGGTAACATGGAGGAAATGGTGTGAGGAAGAGATGAGAGCTTGTGGGCTGTCATGAGGCCAGGTGCAAAAGATTTCAGGGAAGAGAGTGGAATGGCGACGTGCTACTGAAGCCTTATGTTCCACTAGGAACCCAAGGAACAAATAATAATAATAAGGTTGCAATTTTATAGATTAATTTGTTGCCTCATATTTTAATTTTGGACTTAAATACAGATATACTAGACGTTATGCACAACTAAAAACACTCACAAATTGAATCAATCCTTAGAAATGAATGTATACATTAAATCCAGCTTGACTGGTAAAAGGTGACAGGGAAACTTTTATCCGCTCTCGTATAGTCCTATGTATGGTAAGTACTTTAACATCGAGAAACAGTTATTCATTCCAATTTTGGGGATACTTTTCGTCGACATTTTTGCATGAAAGTAACGAATGTAAATCCCATTGAAATTATTTATTAATTTTCTTTCAAGAAGTATTTTAGAGTTCATAGTTAGTGGGATAGCATTTCGAGACAAAACGATGATCGCGATATTTTCTGCCACTGCACTTTATATCAACCACAAGTAAAAATATCTTACTACCACTACTGTAACATAAGTTAAATTTTTAACTTTTAATACTTAAGTTGAGGTTGATTTTCACACAATGATTCCCAACATTCTGACCAAATTGATATTGTCAGACTAAATTAACATAGAATTCTGGATTTCAAATGGTCCACTTGAATTCGTTTGTTGAACATTTCAGATAAGAAACAACTTCACAGTGCTGAACATTCAATAACAAGAAATTATCCAGTACCACAGTGCCTAAATTCCACTCTTACTCTAGGAGAAGTTCAGTTTAATTTCTGTCATACAACTGAAACGAATTTAGAGAATTTCTCCCGTACGGGCTGATGTGCAGCTGTCATCTTTCATAACATGCCTTTTATTAAAAATAGACACAATCTCATTCAGATATACCTTTATATCGACCTATTTTGTCGCCAAAAACTCAGCATTGAGCCACTTAAGTTGCTTCTAACTAAAGTCTATACGTGGCATATATACTAACTTCAAAAACTGTAAATAAAGCAGTGTCCCAGTTTATTATGAGAGAGAATAGTGCAGTAGATGCCTATTTTCCGTCTTCACATATTGCTTAAGTAATCCTGGTTTCATCAGCTCCCTAGAATAAGTGAGGTCCTGAAATAAAATTGTTCAGAAAGGTCATACTCATTTTATTACTAATGATTTAACCCCTGCAGTCCAAATCAACCCACAACACTTTTAACTGAAATTCAGTATAATGAATTTGAAGTTTCAAACAGACCATTTATTTAAACATTATACAACTTTCTAGAGAGGTATAGGCTTTAGAAATTACCAAATTTATGATTACAGCACAAACATTTTTTACAGTCTACAAATGAATTATCTAGTAAAACATGTGACTTGACATTGGACTATTCTTCAAGAAAAATGACATTTAGAAAGTCTGAATCCAAATTTTAATGACCACATAGGCCATCAAAATGAACTACGTGAATATATCGGTAAGTTAAATCTGATCAGTCAGTGGGAAGTCAAACTGTTAGTAGCGACATGCAACAACTCATTGTCGTATTCGTTACGGAGCTACAAAACAGTTTTGCTGACAAATAACGACAATCACAACATTTTGGCTACCTGATACTTAATAACTCTACATTTACACCACAAGACCTTAATTTAAACTACTTTTAAGACATGAGTAGGAAAAACTAGGGATAAAAGAGGTTTGTTTTAGCATATTAATCGCTATATACATATGAATCCTTTTGAAATCAAATACGCTTTGTAATTATTCTAAAGGGTTTCTTTGATCAACAAATGGAGTCGGAAAACTCAGTTATCCAATCTCTTCTGTCTCGGATTGAATCATCAACAATATCTAAGTCAGATAGAAACTATGAAAAGCCAGTTAAATATCCTGCCTCACCAGTTTTCAATTCAGAATTTTTATTTCGTCAACAAATCTGCCATTTTTTGCCAGTAATACCAGTTCCAATCTATAATCAAGTTACAACTATGAATGGTGAAGGTGAGTGGAATTATCGAGGGAACTGTAGATTCATGTTTATTTTTCACGTTATTATTACTATTACCAGTTAAGTATAATTTCTATGTAATGTTATCTGCCTCAGTAAGATAACAGTCAGTTGATTCCGCTATTTGCAATAAACAAATGACTGTCGGTTACAATAAATCATTCAGTATATTATATAGAAAACTGTTCAGAAAGAAAAAGTATTGGAATTTTTGTAGAAGTGACCATCACAAAGTTTCTTTTCATAGACTGTTCAATAAATGAATTCAATCTTTTCATTTCACATTCGTTTAATATGGTTTTTATCCATGTAACTACAATTAATTAGATTGGTAATCACTTCAATGTACCTTCATCATAAATTTAACAAATCCAAACTAATAACATACTTATACTTGCGACTAAAACTTTTATCGTTAGAATCTATTAGAAACCTAAAAATAAGTAATCAGTTTATATACGACATCAATGGATTAAACTCCTTGATACTTTCCAGTGACCAACTAACGTATTTAACCTAATCTTACAGGAAATTAGTTACAACCAAGTAGCTAAGTAGTAAAGTTTCTGATTACCGAATTGGGTTCGAATCCCACAAAATATATCACTTCCCTCAAGGTTTGAGATACGCTTTGCTAATGAGCTGGGAAAATCATGAATTCTACGTTCAGGATTTCCTCCTGGTGGCTATTAACCAAGTGAACTCTGATACTACATAAAAATGAAGATGGCCTGGATTTTGGCAGAATCTGTACAAAATATTTCATGAGTTTAACTTACCTTACTTCATCATCTGAGCTGAAATGCAACGGCTATCTGCTTTTTGATCGTTATGTGCTACCCAGTTTGGATGTAGCAAATCTCATTAGTCTGTCAAACAGTCACTCCTGATTTTATGAATACTAGGGACAAAAATTATGCAGTAATCATAGCAAATTAGGTAGAAGTAAATCTGAAGAATCTCATACCATATTCAATGGAAGCAAAGAAAAGTATACAATGTAGAAAGTTTACCAAATTTATTCACTTAATTCTTCTCAAGTAATAACAAAATCGATAGACAAGATAATGAAAAATAACAGTTTCTTGTTCGTTACAATGTGTAAATTGTTGCAGTCATTCGGTGTTAGAAAAAAGCGAATAAACTTTGTCACATACTACCTTAAAACGGATAACAAAAACGTGCAGCACTTCTTTTACCATAAGACATAAAGAAAAGACAAGAAGTGGATGGGAAACGAGAAACTAACGTTTATCATGGAAACATAAACATTGCTCCTTTGTATATATGTTCACTAGAATAGCCTATGATTTATGCGTACATATAATTACAGGTATTTCATAATGAGGAAAACTGCATGACAAGCACTTTCCAAAGAGATAAGATGGTGATGGGATACACGTTAAATTTGTTTCTTATAACTTTTTCATGAATTGATTTCCCGGACGTTTTCTATGCTCGCGTAATTATATGGCATAACAAATCAATTCATGTTTCTGTTTCATATTCCTTCCAAATCCTTAGAAAAACCTGCTTTAAATGCGTGATGGTTACTACTACATTTTCTTTAAACAAACAAAATCTAATGCGCACCGAGAGGATTCAAGAGCTGGTGTATATTGATGTGTATATATTTTGCCTACTGATAGAATTACAGTAGTACGTGTTCAATAGATTTTAAATGAACAGTACAAAATAACTGCGAAAGTTTGATCAAATAGTCCATTCAACTCCCTAAGTAGGAAACCTTCTATGTGCACTTACCAGTCCAACTTATCCAATGGAGCTAGTTACATTGGGTGTTGAAATTCGTCATCGAATCCTCAAATATAGTCCGTCTCAGTTAAATAAAGGGCAAACAAGGTCGATAAGAAGATCAGTACTGTCTCATCTGGTTGACAGTGGTCACTGAGTTAATATTTATAACACCTGTCTGTCTATCTGATGTGACCCATGCCCAACTACGTCGTCTTTCACGTACGGCAGAAGCCATTGGAATCCATCTGAACAAGCCGAGTCTGTGTGTTTAGAAGGAATTTGTACAGCCTCTTTTTACCTTGGCCATCTGTATGCCTTAGAATTTCCCTTTTATTATAAAGCTGGGTGGCATTGATCAGTAAAACAAAAGCATCTCCTAAATTCGATTTCTAGCCACTACCAAATAAATAATATCGGAACGAAACAAGAGGTAATATCGAGGCACCTGTTCAACGAATTTGATCAATTTCGCTCAGTATATTTATCAACCGGAAATTACAAGGGTTGATAAATAACATTTAATAACCATTGCACAAAATGCCTCTCATGACTCAGTAACCTCGTGGATAACACTCTGGTGTCTAAAGCGATCGGTGCTAAGATCTAGTCTCAATGAAAACGTCACTAAATGATGAGTCCCTCATAGACCGAAATTTGGATTTTGGGTTCCACTGCTATCCAACACCAAACAAATAATATCTGAATTGTCAAATTTATTTTTCATAGCTATGCAAAGGTCTATAGATGCGGACTTGCTGAATTTAGTTTCACACCCTCAGAAAACGGCTGGTGAAGAAAAGGTAGGCTGATTTATTTACAGGTGAATTTCATAGATATTATTACAGTGCCAACTATCAAATAATGAAAAAATCTCTAAAAGTTCGAGAAATACGGGAAAACTACAGAAAAAGAAAGACGATACACTTCAAAAATTAAAGAAGAATATATACCATCAAACACACTGTAGATGCAATTGAAATCTTCACTACCCACACGTTAATGAAAAGGTGGTCAATACTGTCCAGGTGACTAAATGGAAGTACAATGAACAAGATTCAAACTATGAATCAGCAGTTTATGTATAAACAAATGAAAAATCAGACAGCATCTGCTAAAGATTCATCTGTAAAACAATATCACATTAAAGGACCTTGCTGTCATGAATACAAAGATTTAGGATGAACTCCTTTAAAGAATGAGTTATTTTTCTTCTAGTGTATCAGTCATTATGTATGGTATTAGGTATACTGTTGAAATTTTGGTTGAACATGCGTAAATTTAAATTTAAAAACTTTCTAAATCCCCTTTTTGATTTTATATTTCTAGACCTACCTTCTGCAATCCACGAAACAATGAGACCTCGGAGTATAAAGCAAATCATTTGGACAGCAACAATCAGCACATTTGTGGATTTTGACTGGAATAGTCAAGCTCAAGCGAATAAATTATTTATAACGGCTATTATCGTTGGAGTAGTAATGATTACTTGTATTGGCGTAGTTGATTTAGGTGGAAAAATTTTAAAAATGCTTTACATCAACCCAGCAGTTTCATTGTCTGATATTCAAAAGTGGAGAAGTAATCAAAAGAAGACAAATAATGAAAATGAATTAAAGAGTTATGATCAGAATGTTGATAATATTATTTTAATATCACCTCAACCAGCACCAATTATTCCATGGCCTTCAAAACTGGTATTCAGTGGTAATGGTAAACTGATTACTACTATACCAGATACGAAGTTAATGTATAAAAAGACATCAAGTCCAGAATCTTCAACATCCATCTTGAAAGAACCAGAAGCTCAACTCCCTCTAACTGCCTTTTATTTAGATACTAATCTTGTATTTACACACACTAGCACACCATCTGTTTGCAATAATAAATCAATCCAACACAATGAAGTAACACATTCCATACCTGTTTTAATTGCTCATCCGACAGCCTCTACTCCAATTATCGCATTAAAAACGGATCCGTTAGCTTCCATTAACCAACTCTCAGGAGTATTGTACGAGAATACATGAATACTGTCTTGTTCTTAGCCATCTACTAACCTATCAGAGTAGATTTTATCACTAAGTGTATATACGTGTAAAGCGAATTCAATGTCGTTTTCAGTGTTTACTTGTAAATATTACTGATGTTCAATTTTTTATTGTACATTGAATAAAACAATAAAAAAGTAAGTGTCAAACTGTTGTATCGATCACTTGTATTTGAAGGTATTTACATAGACATATTTGATTTTTTTGGGCAAGAATACAGAGTGTGAACTTGCTTTAAAAACAAAATGATCTTAAGTAATATAAACGAGCGTTTTTCAACATTTTTCCGTTGAAAATTATGATATCTGAGATAAATTTAACCTTAAGTAGAAACATCTAAGAAGATCAAAAGCAAACAGTGCTAGACAACAACAACATTAAAGGTTAAAATTGACTATGGCCTTCATCACGCTAGTTTTTGTGAGGAAACAAATCCAGACTTTAGTTTATGAATCTGTATGTCTAAAACTATCCACTAATGTAGCGGAAAAGTTGCACCTGAGTAGTATGCATGTTTAAAGTATTCCATTCGATAAGCTTTGTTTTCAGTGAATCAACCCATTCACTCGAATATGATGACTATTTCAGTTTTGCTTATTTTATTCCCTTGGGAAAAGGAAATTGAAAAGTATTACAGAAAAAAATACTGACAATGAGCAGATATTGCAGGGGATAATATAAGTGAATAAACAGGTAGCTGGTAACTAATTACTATATGTCATCGATAATTAGGAAAGGACTATGGTTTTTCTCATAAAATATATGCCCTGGTCATTTTTGTTATTCAGCAGTATTATTTTTGATACTAATATGACATCACTGTGTCCAGCAGTTGTATATCAAGTACTGAAGGGATTTTCATAACACAACAAGTACATGTAGATATTCAATCCTCAAAGTTAAGCATGAAGATGCTAGTAACGCTGAATATATGTGCTCAAAATGAAATGTGAACCAACGGCCAACATTCACGGTTATCCTAAGTAGTGTAACCAATAAACATTACGATTGAATTACACTTCATTTCTTACACTGTAAACTAACTGCTTAGAATGCAAAAATCTTTAGGAAAATATTTTACCAAACAAAGACCTACTTGCAAGCAAAAATAAGTAGCTAAACTTTTTTGGCTTAATTTTTAACCATACTTATTACCACAGCTTGAAGAAGTCAAGAATATCCCAGGTATACAAATTCACAGGAATACTTCAGATATATTCGCTTTCATAGAGCCTTCACACATGTGTGATTCAGACTTGTGGCTTCTCCGCCATACGTAAACTTAATAAGGGGTTTCTAAAAACCCTGGACAGAAAAGACATCGTGCATTTTTTTTATATCTCACCTACTGTAGCTAATCAATACATGAACAAAGTAGAATCAGACCTATTTATCCAACATTGTTTGAAACTAAGAATGTGGTGGAGGTGTGTTAACGACACCGTCGGAAACAAAAGAAAAGGTCTAGAAAACTTTTTCGAATATCTTAACAGCCGTTTCAACTTCATAAAATTCATCTATGAACTAGAAACAGAATTCAGAACGCTAGCTTTCCTGGGCTGCAAGGTGATACGAAACAATGATGGGAAACTTGATATTGATATCTGTCAAAAAGACACACATTCTAACAAATGCCTTAACTTTAATTCGGCTCACCTATTGGATAATAAGTTAAACGCTGCCAAAAATCTATTGACGAGATCACAAAGGATACCTAATAAAGTGGAATCTCAGCAAGCAAATAGGCAACTTGTTCGGGAAGTCTTAAAACAAAATAACTATCCGGAAAAGCTACTAAGAAGGGTAGAAAACAGTTTATCGAAAAAAGACATGGAAAAACCAAATCATAAAGATTAGATAAGTACTGTAGTACTTCCTTATCGAACATCCACATCAGAGGGAATAAGACGTATCCTTAATAGTATTCTTTAAGGCGACGAACACATTACACTCACACCTGTGTAAATTAAAAGATCCGATTCCCCATTTGGAACAACAGAACTGTGTTTATAAGGTAGACTGTAGTGAATGCAATGTCACATAAATTGGAGAGTCGTCACATCAAGTACTAACACGTCTAGACGAACACGGTCGGAGTTCCAAAAAACCACTAAAAATTCCTATGATCTGGAAAAACTTGAAAAAAGCTCTGCCATCGAGGCTCATGCCTTATATTCAGATCATAAAATATCATTCGGAAAGACAAAAGTCCTGCAAAAGGGTCTTTTTTCTCACAAAGAGCGGGCAACTGCACAAGCCTTGCAAATCTGTTCGTACGCTTCTTCAGTCAACAGAAAAGATGGCTTAGACATCCCACAAATATGGCAAACATCAATGACGCCCATAGACAGTTGCAAATAATATATGAAGAGAAGGTAGAACACAATTGTATTCCACATGATTTATTCCGAATTTACTCATGTTTGAATAGTTTCCGATGTTATTTCGCTGAATCATCTTAATCACGTCTAAAAATATTGGTTGTATTTTAACAAATTGTCTAACCCTATTACACAACACTTAACTGATCTACTATTTTCATCAGTTTTACGCTCCTTTCTGAGTTATATACATTCTATGACGAAAGAACCATTATATACATTACATAATCCATTTTGTCATCACTCAACTGTTAGCAAAAGTACATTTATCGTCAACATTATTATTATCCATTTAATATATGTTGTTTGATGTTCGAATATTCATCTTTCCAAACTAGTAATCTAATCTTTCTCACCCTTGATGACTCACAAACCCCACTGCACTTTTCATAATCGGACTAAATTTCCTCACCCTATTTTTCTTACATCATACAACTAAAAAAAGCGTCTCTGACCGAATTGCTTATTCACTCACCTGTATTACATTGATATTTGCTTCATATCACGATGTAATTGGATGATAGTAAAGGTCACCACCTTCTGTACCAAAACTGGGATATTAACCTGAAAACTTAATGTCAGATTCACACTCTTGAAAAGGATCTTCCTAGCAAGATCGGAACGTTGAGGAATAATACAAAATATTTATTTCGTTATTTGTTCTAATATACTACGCCGGGATTATACAATTAAAAATACACCTTATACGATGATTTAAACTAATATTTACCAGAAACAGAGCAGCAGTGCATTGGTAAAGCTAGTTAATATCAAATCCCATTATTACTTCAAACCATTCCGCCGATTTTTCTGAAGTATGATCCACTTAATCGGATGTTATACTGACATCATCATTATAATGAGAAGCAAAACAGAAGTCAATCACCAGTTAGCTGCATAAAGTTAATTTTGGTCACGCCTCTAACAAATTCCCCTATTAAAATTGATTGAAACATTTGACCAAGTGGGGAACAACAATGGCAATTACAACTCACCAGTTTTGGCCCTAACCCAGTATGTAGAAGAAGGTTTTATCCGCATTTCAATACGAATTTAATTCTACCTAAACATTTCTGATGCCTCAATTAATGTTTAAGACGTCGGATCCACAAAAGCGAACAATTTTTGACTCAAGTTCGTGAATTTTACCCGATAGAAAGTTAAATTTATGTTGATCACACTTTACGTGCATTGCTCATTTTCCTCGCTTTTTTTCCTGTTGACTGTTCTCCCACTTTTAATGCACTGATTTGTCTCAAGGGCTGTGATCTGTCCCCTAATTTAATACTCTTCCGATTGAAGTAAATATTCTTCAATCCAATACTGTTTTCTTCCTCGTGTCCAATGACTTGTTTATTATCACATTTTGTACATTCCTTAAATAGGTTAAGCGTCCCTAGTTTACCGTAGCCACAAATCTTAACAGTCGGTTCACGACTATCACTTGTGTTGAATTTCTTATCCCTCTCGTCTTCTGCTTTAGATATGTTATGAAGTAAGAGCTAACGACATCACTCAGTCCCGCCATTATGATCATTATCATCCTGATATTCAAATTTTCATTAATTCAGAATTTTACTTCAAATCAAGGATAAATGTTACCTTTTCAAATCCCATACTTTCTTCATTTTTATTGTCGCTTTGTTAAATGCTACCTTATGTCTCTTCTTCAGAAACAATTCTTGAACATTAGTGTGATGACACAAGCACACTAGATTAGAAAGTAAAAGGATATCATCGGTTAGCAATGAATATCATTACTTCTGAATAGTTTTATAAAAATTACACAGTAAAAGGTGAGAATTATCCTCACTAAGTTGTCTTTCGTTTTAATATCTACAAAACCAAGGTTGTCAAGCTGACTAAGTCACTTAAACAGGAAGTTTCCATTGGTCCAAAATACTGCGATTTTAACTTCACTATCAAGAAGCTTCATATAAGTGTATAATTCGAAAGTTTGATCAGCCAAACCAATGACCGTGTCACGGTTTCTGACCAACAGTTCAAACGCTTCAAATAATCCATCCTCGATAGTCGTTATCAGTGTCTTATAAAGAGATCAAAAGTTAATTCTTTTAACAAAACAGCATCATGAACAAGTTAAACAACTAAGAAGTAACAGAGATTTACCGGTAGGAAAGCGTTCTGGTAAAGGCATAGTTCTCATGGACGGAAAAGATTACAACGCAAAAACGTTAAATTTACTTTTAGATAACAAAAGATTTTCTTAACCCTTCTAACGAAAGAAACGAAACAGAACTAAATGAAGAGCAACTAAGTGATATACCAAAAAGATTGAAAAATAATCATTTATTGGCGATTTTTATGAAAGAATTAGACCAACAGGTCCAATAATACTACGACTTTATCCTTTGCCAAAAACACACAAAGCCACCCTCCTATTAAGCCCGATTCTGGATATGTGTAGATCTCCCTATCATCCGGTTGCGAAGTAATTAGCTGATATCCTAGAACCTGTGAGGAGACAAACTTCTGTTTACTTCCTTTGAGATACCTTTGAATTCATCGACTGCATAAAGAATACCAATATTTCTCGCAAGCATATGATATCGTTCGACATCAAATCACTCCCCAATAGAGTTCCACCTACAGAAACCATTTGTTTTATGTATAATTAGACAAATGATAACAAATTGAACACTGAAATACTAACTGTTTATTTGAAGGAATTACTATTAAGATACAGTGTTATTGTACGATCCCCTTTCAACAACACAATGTACAAACAGAAAGATGGAACTGATATGGAATCTTCTTAGGCCTATTAGTGGCAGATCGCTTCATGGAAAATTTTAAAAACAGCCGTTTGAAATCAACGGTCAATGATTTTCAGCTGTA